AAGAAAACAATTATCTTGGCCAGCCAGCCCACTGGGCCGCCGGGTGGCAATAGAAAGAATTACGATTTTATCTTCGAGAGGAACGGCACTGTCCGAGCAACACAACAAAGACCACAACAGTTAGCCGGCAATCTGATGGTGTCAATGCAGATACTTAACGCCAATCATTTACAGCTCTATTTGCCCGCTGCCATACCCATTGCGGTTGCGGTGGCAGTGGCAGTCGGTTGTTGGCTGTTGGCGCCTGGGCCCCCCCTCACAATGATGTGTCGAGTGGTGGTGACCCACAAAGCACGCGCCATTTGAACCCAGCTAACCGAAATAAATGAAAGTCGCTTAGCACCCACAAGAAAGAATGGAAAATGTTGAAACTACCAATTAAAACCCCAAAATTTGCCCATAAAGAATTTCCATCAGAATATTCGTGACTAGATACCGCTAAGGGGCTGTCGAAAGCTCCAACTGGGGATGGGCTAGTGGGCTATGGGCTATGGGCTTTGGCTATGAGATATGCAAATGCAAATGCTTATGGCAATTTATGGCGCAGAGTTCATGAACAGCAGCGCCTAGCGTCACGCTCTTTTGAGCAATTTCTTTGTTGGATTTCATTATCTACGCCGTAATGCTCACCTTATGGCAGGGCATTGTTCGGTAAAGTGTCCATAACTCTCCTTGTCCGAAAGATTTTCATGCTTAGATTTAGTTAAACAAGAGCCAAGAGGGTGCTACATGCGAATGATGAAAGGGGAGAGAGAGAAATCCTTCAATATACTTATAAGGTGTTGGGAGCTGAGAAATGTAATTAGTTTTAGTTGCTTTTTCTATACTTCAGAGGGGGCGAAACGATGAGGTAGGAATCTCCCTCTGCCTATTCGTAGTGTCACTTTGTTGCTTATCTATTCGAGACAAACAATTACGAATGACAACGTAATGAACCCTACCAGCAAAGTAATTTCTCTGATATGAATACTCATGACATTTGGGTTTATGTAGCTTATGTAAGATTGTCTTTTATTTTTTGCTCATAGTCAGGATGTAAAATCTTCACCTCTTTGGGTCAGTAGTCGTGCTCGTGTCCGTGTTTGTGTTTGTGGTTGGGTGTTTTGGGTCACGTAGCCAACAAAACTGTCCAAATGTTTTTTTGCAAACAATACAAAATGGACACGAAAAAAAAACCGCGAAATTAATTTCTTTTTAACCACCCGCTGCCGTTCCCCGGCTCCACCCGAAAAGACGAAGAGATGGATGGATGGATGGATGGATGGATGGATGGATGAGTGGAGGAGCGTGTGCGAGCGGAGAATGAAGCGCGAAATGCCATAATGAGTGGCACAATGTGACAATTATTGTGTGCCCTGTGTCTGCAGAGTAACGCTTTTCGTGTCTGTCTCGCCTCCCTTTCGGGATCGGATCGTGACGCAACGCCAGCGTCGCTGCTAGCGCAGCTAATGAATGAATGAAGCCACATGGGCCACAGTAGGGCATACACACGAGTATCTGTGCACGAGTACTCGTATCTGTGCGCGTCCAAGTATCTCGCTGTATCCATCTGCATGGCCGTGATTCTACAAAGAAAGTCAGAGCGCGAGATTATGTCGGAGCGAAGTCAGGGAAAGTCATGAAACTTTAATTGCGCAATGTTTTTTGTGGCAAAATGTTTTGAATAATTTGCAGAACTTGTCCACTCCAATACACTGCACGAAAAGTTCTGGAATTGTCTGAGCAGATTTTCTCTTCTTTTTCTATCGTCTGAAGTTCCCCATTTTGCCTATGGTTCGTGGTGGCAAGCATTTTTGCCCAGTGTAGTACAGTGCTCGTTGCTCATGTCAGATACGCAGTGCTGGGCACAAGATGAGCGCAAAGGAATCAAGCGAATCACTGGTAGGCGCACCTGCACCTCTACCCACACCATCTGTAGCGATCCCCGAGTGTACATATGTACGTACCAGGCCAACCCAACCCTGTGCTGTGCGTTGTATCTGTATCTTCAAGCTTGCCTGCGTCTAGTAGGCAGGCGGAGAGCAACAACAAAAAATACGACTAATTTTTGAAATAGTTGCCGCTGCCGTTGGCACTGCCAGCAGCAAACAGAAACAGAAACAAACTAAAACACACTCACACGCACCAGATGCAAGAAAAGTTAAAACAAAAATACAGAAACCTACCGTAAATTGAATAGAGAAAGTGATGATCATGATATGATGTTATTTGTTAAATAAATCTCATCACCTATCAACACCACCCAGCACCACCACTCCCCCACCCCCTAGACAGCAGGTGCTGTTAACGGTTCAGCCATTAACCATCAAATTTGGTCAGTGGGAAATTCTGTTAAAAGTAAGAGCTCTTCGCACGCACAAAAGAAAATTCTAGAAATTTAAATAAACCGTTGAAAACGAAAATGCTGAGCACTCTTTGGGGCAATTTTCATTGGTTCTTCGCTATCCGATGATCAGCCGTTTTCGTTGGTTCCATTAAAGCAAGACGAGAGAGGAGGAGCCATAAAAGTAAGAGTTTTCTGGCCCTGCCAGGCTCCACACAAAGGGCTGACTATTAGCTAGTTTTTCCACTTTTGTCTTAGGTAGACCAATTTCGATTAGTTGTTACTGTTATCTCATGAATAAACCGACAATGTTGACAACTTCAAACAGATCGAAACACACACACAAACACACTCACACACACACGTGTGCGATTAATTGCCAGTAGATCAAACATTTGAAATGGAAATCGTTTGCAGCAACCGTACAATGGAAAGTTTTGATGTATCTACCAGTGATAGATTTTTATGGCCTTTTTTTATTATTAGTGAAATGGTAGCGGAATTTTTAATTGAAATCAGCATTGAATTACGACCACAAGCAATGTGCTCTGCGCTCTGATTTCATTAGCGATGCTTAGACATATTTTATAAAACACATTTATGCATTCCACATAGAAATATAATTTTTTTAGTTGAATACACAACACATTTCTTTGAAAATTACATGTGTTCTTGTGTTAATGTTAAGTTATAAGTTTAAAATGCAAATTCGGGATAATCCATGTAATTGCTCGCATGCATAGCGATAGTTTAGCTATTGCGCCTGTTAGTACTAACTATTATGCTGTAAGGGTCTCCGTTCCCCACTCCAGAGTATTCTCAATTTCCAGCTGTGGCGTTGCCTGTTTCGGCGCGCTGTAATGTGAAAAATTAAATGCATTTTACAATAGTGCACAAAGCAACACAAACAGGCCCACGGGCAGCAGCAGCACAGGCACAGGCACAGCACCAATTATCGTAAGACTTGACCACGGTCATTGATTTCGAAAATGCCTTCACTGTCGGGGGGCTCCGGCTCCGGCTCCGACTGCGGCTCCCTCTCCCTTGCCTCACTCGTCGTCACAGCTTCTGCGCTTGCGCAAATGGCAAAACCCGGGTCCACCGGCAATTTGAGACCCAAAAGAGGTTTAATTGCAGTCAGGCCGCCCGAAGGCGCCAAAGTTTGTGGGAGACTGACATTGGGATGGATGACTGCAACATACACCGAAATATTTACGCAAATGCTGCAACATGACATTCACATTCACATTGCCCAGCCGTATGCAAATGTCTGTGTTGGAGTTAGTCGAAAACCGATAATAATACCCATATAATAATCGAATCTTCAGTGTCAGCATTGGGCAAGTGATTGCTGTTGCTGTTGTTGTTGTTGTTGTTGGGGTGTTGAAAAGCAATTGTCTCGGACCCGTTTATCTCCATCAGCGCATTGGATCTGTCATTTTAGAGTTGGTTAAAGCAAAAACAGATTGCTCATACTATGAGCAGATACAAAGTCGGTTATACATTCGTCTACACGTAGCCACAGACGGAGATACATATGGGAAGACAGGGAGCGGACAGCGAGGGACAGGCATTCTCATTGTGCTGCCGCTACCCACTTACGCCAGAGATGATATTGTTACTCGCAGAGGCCACACTCTCCGTCTCTCTTTCTCCCGGTGCTGTCTTGGCCTGGCCATTTGGCCATTTCTTTCTTTCTTCGGCCCCCTAAAGTCAGTCGTAAGCCAGCGCTCGTCGGGCTTCGGTTGTGTGGAGTCTACTTCTGCTTTTGACGCGCATCGACATTTCAGCTTGCGGCTCCGTGCGGCCCGTCCAGTCGCTGTGTGGCATTCAACGAACTCAGATGCCCCGTTTCGGTTTCGAGATCCAAACCGAATTACAACATTTGGATTATACAAAGCCAAAAGCCACCAAAGACAGTGAAGTGCATCCAGATTTGGGGGGCTGCGACTGAAACTGCGTGCATTGTGTTGGTGTGGTGACGGTGCAGTGGAATTGGAATTGAAGTTCAATAAGGCACAAGTAAATGGCATTTCCAAATGGGCTATACGGCTATATGATTGTGATTACGTTTAAGTTCGTGAGCTCGTGTGATAGTGTACATAAGTGTGTAAGTGTGTGCCTTGTGCTCCGAGCGGCATTTGCTAATTATCGCAAAATAGCTCCACAGTGAAAGTATCTCATAGATGCAGTCGAATTAACGCCAGCTCGCCTTGTGGCTCGTACGAGTATCTGGCCTAGCTGCCTAGCTGCCTGCTGCCTGCTGCCCGCTGTGACTGTGTTGTTGTTGTGTTTGAGCATAGCTAACATTTTTCCAATACAACAATTGCATTTCATGGGGCAATTTATCAGCCGAAAGAGCGGAGAAACACAAAGAAAAACTACAAAAAAATACAAATACAAAACAATCAGCATAAAAGTGGTTAATAATTATTTTGCAATACATTTGTTCCTTATGGCCTGTGGCTTAATCTAATCTATATACAATTTGTCGGTATTTGGTTTTGCTTGCAGCTAATTAATGAGCCAGCACGAGAGTGAATGATGGCCACAGCCGAGCGAGGCATGCAACACCTCCGAGACACGCCGTCTCCTCTCCGCATATTCGCGTCCGCATCTCCATACCCATCGATGGAAATGGCAATGGCAATGGAAACGGCCAGTGGTCTGTGTGCCCTATGCAAAGTGTGAAGCCAAGTCTCGTGTAGCAGCAGCGGGTGATTGTTTCGCTAACATGTTTGAAATTAACGTTCATTTTATTGTGCATAATTGAATTGCATTTAATCGCTAATTGCATACAAGTTGCGCATACGCTGCCAAAACGCTGCCAAAACCGAAAGCAAAACAGTACAAATAGTGAGATAAATCTACAACTGCAGCTGCATTCCGCAAGTGTTAATCGCGTCCAGACCTTGAGGATGGTCACCTGCAAAGTGGACTCCCAATCCGCAGTGGCCATACCCAAAATGAATTCGGTGCGGGCGCGTGGCAAACCAGCGACCGGCAGCAGCAACAGCAACAGCCAGTCTTCCGGCTTTCGGCTCTTGGACGGCGATCAGCTCGAAAATAATTCGAGTGTCAGTCGAAATTCGATATACAAACTGAAGATCGATCTAATGTTTGACGATTCCAGGTGAGTGGCAGCAGCCCCCATTAGATGGGGTTGAAAATAAATAATTAAACACAAATATCAATCATGTCTGATGGTTTTGGGAGGTGTGACCCACCCATTAGCTTCGCTCTCGATATCATATCCAAAAGCATTAATTTACTTTGAGCCCAACACTTTCGTTCTCGAAACTACAGAAGCCAGTTGTAGATGCAGAGAAATAAGATACAGATATACAGAAATAGAGAGACTGACTGACTGACCGACTGACTGGGAAGACCCAACATGTGTCGAGTCGCTGAATGTTTCTTTTACCGTTTTGGATTTCCATAAGCAACAAAAAGGAACAGTTAGTTCAAAAATTAAAAACGATATTGTCTGTGAAATAGATAGTGGGATAGGCAAAGAAAGAGCTGCAAGAGAGAGGAAAGAACACACACAGAGGTAGAAGAATAATTTGAGTCTTTGGTCATCACATCGGATCGGATCGGTTTGGCTCGGCTCGGCACTTGCTCTATGCTTAAATATTCCAAAGCTGACACACATTCGCGGAGCAAACTGCTTAATTGATTGAAAAAGAAAACTATGACTTCTCACCGCTCCTCTCCAGTGGCCAGGCCTGGCCTGGCCTGGCATTCTCCATCCACTCCACTCCACTCCACTCATCTTCATTCCCATTCAAAACTCTCGGCTGCTGCCGACGATGCGACGTTCTATGGAAATGACCATTTCCGATTTTGTGTCAGTTAGCGGTAAACAGAATCTGGTATTGGGAACACCTTAAGCTGCATTCGGCAGGTGTCAGGGGGGCATTGTACCTGGGCCTGGATCTGGCCATTGCCAAACCAACAACTCCTCCAGCGCTGCCTGGACCATTGTCTGTGGGGCGCCAGCAGGATGTGGCTATGGCTGTGCCAACTCCACGAGTTCACACATAAGCAGCAGACAGTCTCCAGCCAGTCTCTAGTCCGAGCTCTAGTCCGAGGCGAATATGCTAATCTATGGTTGGTTTTGCGTTAATCAGTCAAACTTTCACAAAAATGTAACCGTTTTGTCACACAGCAGAGAGCGGAGGCCCCGAAAGTGTTGGCTCGAAATAAACCATTAAAATTTTATGACGGTGACCATTAAATTTAACAATTTAAACTATTTTACATAGAACTAAATGGAGGAAACTCGATATTATATAGATCATTTATAGTCCATCAAATGAAATTCCAATTCTCCTCCAGCAAGAACTTTCTATACCAAATTTAAAGCCTGTTGCTATGATCCAATTTCTGTTCTCCCGCCCACATTTTATATGTATGGTAGATCAATGCGTAGCAGCCGCCTCGACGATCCTCGGGGATCGCATCGCACGCGCTCCATCATCATGTATGGGCGTAGTGAGTTGGCCAGCACCTCGGGGGCCAAGAGCAGCTTTCTGCAGGAGTCCAGCGAGTCGGCCAAGGTGCTGGCCGAGGCGGCCAAGAAGGATGTGGAGCGGATAAGCAACAGTGTGCAGGCCCAGATCGAGCAGCTGTTCACGGACGTGGCCAAGGATGCCACCAGCAGCTTCGATGTCACCTGCCTGGGCTCCCTGCCGCTGAAAGACAAGGTGACGAGTCTCCAGGGACTGCAGGAGCCACTGAGGCAACTGTACCTAAGTGAGGTCAGCAAGAAGGTAAGTAAATGGATCGAGTTAAAGATCGTCTGGAATCTCAAATTGTGTTCCTGCATGTCTGTGTCCTGCAGAAGCTTAGCTCGGGATCGTTGGATATTTGTGCCACAGGATTGCGGGTCAAGATCAGCACTGTGCCAATGCCAAAGGGCGGCAGTGGCCCAGACGATAGTGAGGCCCACATCACGCCCTTTCACAACATTGCCGTGTGGTCGGCGGTGAAGTTTGTTATCTCCGCCGACGATGGCGGCGCCGCCTTCTTGCCCCTGATCACCGATCCCGAAAACATAGACAAGACTGCCCTGTTTCAGCCTCTGAGGTGAGTCCTTAGAGTCCCCGAAGCTGGTGCCAAGTTTCTCATCGAACTTCAATCCTCAGTGCAAGCGAGCAAATGGCTGTGGAGCACAGCATACACGTCCATGCCCCGATCTTTGCGGTTGTCATGCGTTCTGCCAGCTCTCCCAAGATCCTCGAGTGCCACGGCTTTATCTGCAAGAGCACCGAGGACGCCATCGTGATAGCGGCCACCCTCTACCAGAGCCTGATGGCCCACGTCAGCACCAACTCACACCGCAGCACCAAGCGCCGGACGCCGCGCCAGCAGAACGGAGTCAGCTGCATCAGCATCGCCAGCAGCTCGGCCATGACCAGCTCCAACTATCTGTCGCGTTCCCAGATCATGCCCAGTGCCAGCGGGCGACGCAGTTCCTTTCGCGCGGGTACCGGTGCTTCCGGCACGCCTTCGCGCTCCGTTCGCAAGAAGAGGGTGTCCAGCAGCTCGCTCAGCTCCAACAGCAACGTCATCAACGAGGCGGCCGAGGTGGAAACGTCCACGGAGGAGCGCAAGCGCAAGTCCAACAAGTCCAAGCGCGCTCCTCCAGTGCCCACAACGGTGCCGGGTTCCGGTTCCGGCTACAAAGGTGCCCCCACGCGCAATGGCAGCATCGTCTGCAGCAACGGACACGTGAACCGTCTGCACCAGCATGCCCATCACAACAAAAAGCCACCAACTGGTGCAGCCAGTGCCTACAAGGGTGCAGATCTTGTGGGGACTGTGGGTGGCGGTAGCGGCGGCGGGGGCGGCGAAGCGGCCAATGGGGACATTCTGACGCGCGTGGCCATACCCAGATCTGGCAGTTTCCTGAACACCGGCGGTCTCACCCGCTACAAGTCGCGGGCGGCGCGCCGTCACTCGGGAAAGTTGGGCGGCGGTGGTGGAGGAGGGTGAGTATTATCAGCCAAGCTCCTGGGGCCAGGAGGGCCTGCTGTGTGCTCCTGGCCTGGGGTGCTGGTGGTAGATTGATTGCATTTTGGGTGTGAAGGTTTGGTTTGGTTGATTGGCATCGTTTGAATTGTGCTTCTAGTTCCCCACTTGGTTTCAGCGAGCTGTTCAATGAATTTCGTCTGCACGAGAACCTGCACTCCCTGGACGACATTCTGTACGCCATTATCGATGCCGACGGCATGTCCTTCAACGACCTGAAGCCCATCTACAAGGAGTTCCTGCTCAAGCTGGCCGTTACTCTCACCCAGGATGAGCTCTTTCAGCGCTCCAAGAACATAATGCGACGCCAAAAGAAGAAAAAGCAGAAGCGCAAGGCCAGCGTAAATGGGTCACAGGTGAGTGGACAGACGATGTCTACAGAATTCGATTCTCATCTAATGCAATCTCTTCCTTCCTTCCACAGAAGACAAAGACAAAGAGCAGCTTCTTTGGCACAAAGAGCCTGAAGAAAATGTTCCAACTGGGGCAGTTCCGTTCGTGCCGCGGCAAGTTGGAGAAGTCGAGTCCACGACCCAAGGAGGCGGCCAGCCTTGACAGCCAGGGCAAGCGCAAAATTAGTGCGCCCATCATCATTGGACCCCCCATCAGCCATGTCCAGCAACAGCAGCAGCAGCATCAGCGTAACCGGGCGGCCACCAGCGGCTCAGATGTATCCGTGGTGCGCAATGAGCATGCCCTGCAGGGGCTCAACAGAAACAGCAGCAGCGGGTAGGTTCAAGAGGGTCAGATATACCCATTCTCAGTGCCCCCTAACGCTCCCTCCCCTCCCGTTTATTGTACAGTTACGTCTCCTGCTCCGAGTGCAGCTACGACTCCGAGTCCTGTACCTGCGCCTCGGCCGATCGCTGCTACTGCAGCCTGCGCACAGAGCACCTGAACCACAAGCTGCGCCAGAAGAACGAGCGCACCATGGCCATGGCCAACTCCTCGCGTAAACCCTCGGGAACTGTCCAACCTGTGCAGAGTGCCGGAACAGCAGCCAGCAACCGCCACTCGCTGATCTCGTGCAAGTCGGATGACAAGTGCTACTGCTCCATGGTCGAGGAGGAGCCGGCCAGCACGCTGGAGCACGACTCGGTAAACACCCCCTCGGAGACGACCACCTCGTGCGACTCGGACAGCTGCATCAGTGCCAGCAAGTGCTACTGCAAGCGAACCCATCGCCGGCAGCGGGCCTTGGCAGCGGCGGCCATCAGCGAGGACTCCCTGTCGCAGCAGCGCAAGGCGCGGCCAGGTGGCGGGGGGGCAGCACGCAAGGGTAAGCCCGCCGAGAAGCTGGGCCTGGACTACGAACTCTTCAGCATCAGCGGCAACAGCAAGCCCGTCCAGCCGCACGAGGCGCTGAGCGTGAAGAAGAGCGTGGAGGCGGCTGCCGTCTTCGCGGACATGAAACTGAGCCAGACGACGGACATCAAGAGCCTGTGCCCGCCCATGCAGACCCAGAAAGCGATGCGTGCAGCCAACGGCAGTTGCCGGTCATATGCCTCCTCCCGGAAGTCCTCTTACCGTGCGCGCGAATCCTTTAGCACGGACCGAGCGGGCGCCAATGGACATTACATGGCCATGCCCCTGGGACCTGCTGGCGGCGTGGGAGCGGCCCAGAAAGCGTGCAGCTCTGACAATCTGCTGCTCAATATCAAGGCCATTGAGAAGGCGGCCTCCATACGGAGCAACATCAGCCGGAGCCGCATGAGCAGCTACCAGTCGATGCGGGCTGTGAGCGCCTCGCTCGAGGACTCGTTGGGGTATTTGCCATAGATGTTGAACCCCTGTTAGTTACGATGTACATTTAGTACATAAGCATAAGCATACGCATAAAACATTAACTAATACTCGATCTGCATAAACATATACTCCAGCATACACATACACACACGGCTTATGTTTCCCAAGACAATTACTCGTATCGTACTCGTATAATTATCTTGCGAAACGTAATCTGTTTCTAGCCCTAAGTTCCTACCGTATAGAGAACATCAAGTGTGAATTTATCTGTAAGATCTGAAACGTAGAAGAATATCGATGTGCAATATGGAAGACCATTCAAGGGGAACGAACAATGAGTCCCACTCATTAAACGCAGTGCAATATTTATAGAGATTTTTTTTAAGAATATTGAAAATAAAAACTATTTCATATACAAAAACTATTTCCGTCCAAACTACAGTAAAAGCTCTGTATGCGCATCCATCGACGAGAGAGATTGTCACAGAAAGTAACAGAGAGATGGAGAAATGTCTGTCCACCTGTATGTAGAGTTGTCACTGTAGTTGTCCAGATATTGTGCTCCGTCATTCTATTTTGACCACGGGATATGGTCAGAGACGTCTAATCAGTGAAACCGGAGGGTCAGGGTGAGGGTCAAGCACTCAGAAGCGAAAGCCCGCAAACAAGCACGTTTGGGATCGAACAGATGTTAGGCGAGCCGAAGCCTCCCAATTGGCGCACGTCAAAGCAGTGTCGAGTCGGTCGAGGAGTGTGATAAGATTACGGATGACTACGAGGGTGCTGCTGCCTACGTTGACATGCCAGCTGTTGGCGGCAGGCTATTGGGTGCCATCCCTGCGGCTATCCAGAGCAGAAGCTTACGTGGAGAGTGCGGCCGAAACGAAATTTATTTCATTGAGATCTGCCGACCAGTGTTGACCGCCAGAGATGACCACCTCAGCCGATAGTGTGTTCGTTGCCCGCTCGGATGGTATTTCCGCCGAAGGAGTTAGGGATCAGTATGCCGATGGCAAGGCGGCCAAGGTATGGGAGATTTTCATTGGAGACAAGAACTCGCGTACGGACAACTACAAGAACTTCCTGATCGATATGCTGCGTCAGAAGGGATGCAGGCGTGTCCTGGACGTTGCCTGTGGTACCGGGTAAGTGCAGTGGACAGAATGTCCGTCATCCCACCCATTTAGCTTTGCTTACACTTCTTCACCTTACATTCACCCAGTGTGGACTCGCTTATGTTGGTCGAGGAGGGCTTCGAAGTGGTGTCCGTTGATGCCTCTGACAAAATGCTGAAATACGCTCTCAAGGAGCGCTGGAACAGGCGCAAGGAAGCCGCCTTTGAAAACTGGGGTATGTCTGCGACTCGAAGCCTGCTTTGCCACCTTTCTGACGGTCCATCCTAAAACCCTTTGCAGTTATCGAAGAGGCCAACTGGCTGACTTTGTACGATGACATCCAGGAGCAAATACAGGATGGCTTCGACGCAGTCATCTGCCTGGGTAACTCCTTTGCCCACTTGATGGACGGCTTTGGGGATCAGCGTGAGCACAAGCAGGCGATCGGCAACTTTGAGAAGTGCCTCAAGCCAGGCGGTGTCCTGCTGATCGACCATCGCAACTACGACAATATCTTGGAGACAGGCTCCACGCCCGCCAAGAGCATTTACTATAACGTGAGTACAAACGCCAGCCAGCCAGCACAGATCTGCCAGATCATTGTGGCGCTAATTAAAAACTATTAAATGACACATTCCATTTAAAGCAGAGAAAAGTTGCCCGTCATCGCGTCATCCCCAATCGTTTCATTGATTACGATGGCTGCTGATCTTAGTTTTGTGAAAATCAATTTCATCGTTCACTCATCTCGCATTAATACATCATCATTGCCGACTCACTTCACTATCAGTAACATACTGAAAACTGATTGGCAGTCGTTGAATTGAATTTGTTTAATTGACTCTCCGAATGACTTGCAGACAAGCCACACGGCGGACATCAAAACATCCGTCCTGTTCTATTGTGGCAAGCCATCCTTGGTGTCCATGGATTACCTGATCGCTGGCAACAAGCTGACCAGCGAGTTCCGCCTCTCCTACTATCCCCACGAGCTGAAGCGCTTCCAGGAGATCCTCAGTGAGATATTCTCGGCCAAGGCCAAGCACCAGCTGTACGGTGACTTCAAGGAGATGAGCCAAGTGAAGAATCCAGCCTTCTACATACACTTAATTGAGAAGCCCAAGGTTTAGGTTAAAGCATTTAGTTTGTATTCATATAATTCCACAACAACACACATCTAAATATATATATATATTCGTTCGATTTACATATATGTATGTATTGTATGGGCATCGTGGCATGGTATGATTTGTTGTTCAGTTCTCTATATCAGTATGCAGTATCTGCCCACTATGGAGGCAAAGCAGAGGGTCACCATTGCAGCCTCAATCACAAAGGGAAATCGCGATTTCACGTAGTTGAACATCCCCGTGTAGATGTTAGAAAGGGTTGACAGTAGGATCGATGTCATGTCTCTGCGTCTCGAACAGCACCGATTCGATCGATTCTAAGTATTCTCTGCTAAAGTTCGCTTCTGACTGAAGCCCGCTAGTTAAGCGCCCAACTGAAACGCAAAAGAAATGGAAAGGCGCAAAGTGAAATGTCATTAGACTTGCAAATGATTTTCATTACGTTTGCTTTTGGAGGGAAGGCGTTCGAAGTGCGAGTCATGTCTACATTCGTATTTGGAACACTATTAGTAAATGGGCAGGAATACATTGGATGTGGATACAACTGGGACAACTTATTCGAACAGTAATGTTATTTATTAATTAATATTTTTCAGTTCTTCAATAAAATCGCATAAATGTGTTATCAAGCTGCGAGCTGGAACTAACTTATACGCCGACAATCTTGTTTATACGCTTGGCATCGGTTATTTGCCGGTCAATCTCCCCGTTCAGTTGGGTCAGGATCTCAGTTATGGTGCGATGTTGTTTTTCTGGCAGTTCGTAGACATTGCTCTTCAGTTCGTCCTGGCTCTTGGCGATGTGATAGCGCTGTTTGTTCAACATCTTCTTGGCGGCATCCAGGTCAGCAGCCATACCCTTTGTGGCCTTGTTAATTCGTGACACCTCTTGGGTGAACTCGTGCTCGGCCACGACATTGTTGGGCAGAGCGGTGTTGGCCTTCTGCATCAGACTGTGACACTTGCGCACCAATAGCTCCTGGTTGTCGCTGATTTCCTCGAAACGCTCGGCCAGCTTGTGGGCACCCTCGCTGATTATCTCCCGCTCATGTTCCAGCTCCTGGATCTCACGCAGTTGCTGCTCCTTCCTCAGTAGAATTTGATTGATGTGCTTCGCAAACTCGGTACGGACGAGGTCGTGTCGCTTGAGGTACTGTTCGCGCAACACTTCAATAGCCTGGTTTAGTAGCTCGTATCCCTCGTGGGGGGACGCCGAGGACAGCTTGTTAGCGAGAATCGGTTGGTTGACATTGCGCTGCAATAGAGCTTTAATTTTGTCAAGGAATGAAGGTCCAGACTCTTGCTGATCCACATCGGAGGCTCGCTGCGTCTTCTCACTGGGGGCCACCAACAGCTGGGCATCGATGACCAGCTTTAGGCTGATCACTTGACCGCTGGCCAACAGAAGCACCACACCAGCTGGCAGCTGTAATAGAGATATGCCGCAGACAGCATTGATCCGCTCACTGGAGTCGAACTTTGTGCACAGGACGTACTCGGCCCTGGAGGATGACGCCAACTCCAGTCTGTCCTGCTCCGACTCACTGTCCAGATAGCGCTGCAGCTCGGAGATGAAGCTGACAGTGACCACGTGCAAGCCAGCGTTGTGATAGGCAAAGTAGCGCAGCTCGTTGATGATATCTCGTTTCAAGTGTATGTGTGTATTAGGCTGGGTGATGGGGGTTTTTGGTGCAGTATTTGATGCGCCAGAAAGACCCAACTCGAGCTCAACCGTTTCCAGCACATGTATGACAAACTGAGCGGGCTCTATGAGAATAAAGTCATCAACTTCATTGAAGGAATGCTCGGCGGCCTCGGCATCCAATAGGAGTGCATGGTGGAGCTTTCCTTTTGACTCGGCAATGACAATAGTGGGAGGCAGCGAGGGAATGATCATGATCGAGCAATACTCTAGGCCGTAGTTGTCTAATTTCTGAGGTGTTATGGTTAGGGGTCCCTGGAGGCGCGTAATATCCGAGTCCAGGCTAGTAAACAAAACGTAGATGTTTCCGTTCTCTCGCAGCAAAACAATAGGCCATTCAATTTTCTCCTGCTTTGCCGTTTTTCCTCCCAGCGATTTGTTGCTTTGGTTCAAAGTAGTTTCGTTGGCCGCAGTAAGGTCGCCACAGCGCGGCTTTGTAGCTGGAGCAAAATCAAAGTCCACGGCAACTTCCCCAAAGTTGGTAATCGAAGTCATTGTCCTAGTAAGAGGCCCAACTTGCCACACGTGACGCAGCTTCGAGTTATTGTACACTCGGATGCAGTTGTTGTTCAGCAGCACCAGCAGTGTGGAGTCCGATACTGAGTTTGGATGCCAGCGCACTTGACGCACCTCCAGATGCCTGTTCTGGAACAAAGCAGAATCCAGACAGTATGTGCGACAAAGGACTTTTTCCTGGCCATCCTGAAAGTAGCCATCGAGACCCCAGCGGCGGGGTAGCTCCAAAATGCACACACCACGCGGTCCGCTCAGTGCCACCAAGGAGCACTCGTTGGAAACTGTAACACGATCTATGTCCTGAATGATCGGGATCGAAGGCAGAAGCGTCTGATAATCCACTTTGGCACGCTGCTCCGGCACCATCAGCTGCGAACGCCAGTTCCTCACGAGCAACCTGCACTCGCCCGCATCCCATGCAAACAGTAGATCGTCGCTGCAGTCCAACAGATTTTGGCTGTTCTGCACGACGGGCAAGCCATTTCGTATTTTTTCAAATAATTTAGTTTTATTTAATTCAAAACAATCTGTGAGATCCGACATTGCGAGACAGTGACGATAACGATAACGATCAAACGAGACTTAACCCGCGTAGCCCCCCTCTATTTAAACAGTTTAGCACCGTTTGTAAAATTGCGAAAAATAATTTTGTTTGTAAAGGCTCCTTGTAGCTCCATCCTCCTCTTTACTTACAAAACAAAAATGACCACCGACATCATTCACCTGTAATGCGTAAAATATGTTAAAGTTACATAAATTTCGTGGAAATATTAAATACCCCCCTTGACGACAATGGGATAACGCTCCGCAGTGTGACCGTATTCACTACGTATTTCTCATACGCAACTAGAGATGGGCGTAGTAAAATTTGTTGCCAGCAGCATGTTTTGAGGACTTTGGCAACATGCTAAGCTGCTAGCAGCTTGTTGCATGGATTCATTGTTGTTATCGAACATTTTCGTTATTTTTTGTGCGTTTAATGGAGTTTGGCGGTCATTTTGAAAAGTACTTTAACATATAACGATAAACCGCTAGTTAGGACTCTCAGCACTTATCATATAATTTTATTCGATAGATACAAATTTTCTACAAGATTGGGAAACTTTGAGGACTCCTTTTTATTGAATTACACAAAAATGGTCACCCCTGTTGCAACCGATATTTATTTAAACATTTTTTGGAAAATATTTGATAACAATTTTTTTTATTTGTTGCCTGTTTAAACTTTAAAGCTTTAGGGGCACCTTCCGTATTTTTTATACAAATTCCAAATATTGGCAAACTGTTGAATATTCTTTTTATGTTCTCTTTTGGATTTCCAACTTTGGAACCGCTTTAAGTTTCATGGTTATATCTTCAACGTAATAAAGATCTTCAAATTTAAAACTGGTCTTAAAGCTATAGTTCCTCAACAGTTTGGCCAATGTGACTTTGGCTGATATCAAAGCATATCTCCAGCCTGAAATTATAAGATATAGAATTTGATTATTGTTGATTATCTTGGAAAACACTTTTGCTTCAAATATTACCTATACAATTCCGAATACCCTTTGTGAAGGGTATAAATGCGTATGGGTGCTTGTCCCGAGTATTGTGGGGCAAAAAATTGTCTGGATTGAAGGTTTCCGCTTCGGGTCCCCAGATCTTCTTGCTGCGGTGCATGTGGAACATGTTGATGGCGATCTGCACTCCTTTTGGAATTACAATTCCATTCGATAAAGTTAAGTCCTGTGCCGTTTGCCGTGATACAACTGGAACTGGCGGTATTACCCGCATTGACTCATTTAGAACCAAATCCAAGTACACCATTTGCTGGGTGTCTTCATATGTGACCTCGAAATCACCGCTATTAGGGAACAGGCTTTTGATTTCTTCAAACGCCCTCTCCTGGTACTGAGGGAACATGGCCAGCAGCATGAGGACATAATAAACAGTATTGGCAGTCGTCTCAAAGGCGCCAAAAACAATTACATTGGACTCGTCCTCAACATTTGTCAAGCTGAACACACCACGCCTTAGTAGATCCGTTGCCAGGTTGAGAAAAATGTTCTTATCCTTCGACTTGATGGAGTCCTCCGTGTCCTCAGCCAATCTTTTTTGAATAAGCTGAAATGGCGATTCAAGTTGTGGTATATTTACTCAAATTTATCTCCATCAATCGCACCTTCCTTATGAACGCCCGGATCTCCGTCTTGGCTCGATGGTAGTTGGCCTCCTTTCCCGCCAGTTGGCGGGCCCACTTACTGTTCAGCCACGGCGAGAAGCACATATCTGTCATGGTTTCTAGACAACTGTGAATGCATAGCAGTAGCCCAGACCACACCTGACTCACCATTGATAGCGTTCCATAAGGGAGTTGCTCTTGAAGTTCTCCTCACTCTTCACATCGCATCCCATTGTGGTTTCTGCACTTGAATATCAGACGTAATAATGGTTATCTTCGCCAGCAGCTTTTCCTACTCACGAGTTGCAATGCCCAAGGTAAAGCTCTGCAGCAGCGGAATCAAATCCTTCTCCCCGCCGCCCGGCAATGCGTCCAGCTGGTTGAGTAGCTGTGCCGTCTCTTTGTTGAAAATGGGCAGAAAGCTAAGCAATACCTTGTGGCCGAATGCAGGATTCAGCAGCTTGCGATGAATACTCCAGCGGGGATCTAGACGAAGACCACATTGAAGTAACTCCGAGAAACACTTAGCCTCCGCATCCACGCACCCTTTAAACTGAACAGTCCCACACCAGCACCATCGTCCACGGCCTTGTAGATGATGCCCTTGTTCACGCAGTGAGGCGAGGTCAGGATGTCCTGCACCACTTGCGGGTCACTGACGATCATGAACGGAATGGGGCCCAGCCACGAGAATATGGTTGGGCCATGCTTGGCCAGATAAATTCCAAATTCATTCAGTATATCTGTCATTGATACAAAATTAGATCCCCTGATCGATCAGTTCCGAAATGTAAATCCATTGGTACCTTCCCTGCGCATCAATTTGTGTGCCATTCCCAGAATTGGGTATCCAAGTGGTCCGGGAATTTTGAGTGTGAGTAAGTAGAATCGCCGCCGACTCCACAGAAAGTAAATCCAAAGGACGAATAGTAATCCACACCACAGTGTCCACGTTAACATGTTTTATCCTTAGGAATGCACTATCCACAATTGAAACACTTATTTCCAAATATTTCACAGATATCCGACCGATCGCTGTGAAGTCCGAAAACAATTTGATTATCCAATTTTGAGGCAATCGAGTTTTATATGACGGAAGCGATTACGATTGCGATTGGTACGCGTTCGATCTGTGGGTATTGTCACGCGTAGTGCTCCGTGGTGGCCCGGTGACTCTCAGCGTAAAAATATTGGAAGAAAGCAGCCGATCCACAATTCCACTGGCAGTGGTACGTACCAAAGCTACAAACAAGCTTCAATGAACCGTACATAGCAAGCCATTTTTAATAGGGCTTATCATGGAAGACGCGCATACAAATAGCTATATTTTAGCTAATGGCTAGCAGAGTGACACGCCAAACACGTTGGGAATACGAATTGGGAGTCCATCCCCCCATTCAAGCATTAGCAAAACGTCACCGATTGACCATTGGGCGTTCGAATCAATAATAATTATTGCGTTGCAAAAAGCACCAAAAATTCTGGATAGCTATTGACAATTGTCGGTGTCGTGATCCAAACCGAGAAGCAAATGACATAACATGTGTACATAATTATTACAAACAGTAATTGACAGAAATATTTCTTTAAATTTGGAAATTTTTAATTTGTAGAATAACCGTTAATTATAGTTTGTAGATCGATGCTGCATTCCGTGCCGTACAATTGGGGCTTTCAGTTTCAGTTGAAATTTTTATAGATTATATTGCACCAGAAATGTAATTACCCGATACTCATAGAGACAGGGGCATATCATTTGGATGGTTGTTTTGTTCCATACTCATTCCATTAATACTTTTATTTTTCTTATAATTACTCTGACAAGCTCCATTAGTAAGAGTTCGTTGCCTCTTTCTTTCATATAATTAATTACTCATTTTCTCTTTTCTATTTGCAGCTTCGGAACCGTTTTGAGCTTCATGGTTACATCTTCCACAAAATAAAGATCTTCAAACTTAAAACTGGTTTTATAGCTAAAGTTCCTCAACAGTTTCGCCAGTATGACTTTCACTGATATCAAAGCATATCTCCAGCCTGAAATAATGAACAGATTATTGTTAAAACATTACCTTTTGGTACGAAATTACTGCTATAGTATTACCTATGCAATTCCGAATACCCTTTGTGAAAGGTATAAATGCATATGGGTGCTGTTCGCCCCGAGTTTTGTGCGCCAAGAAGTTGTCTGGATTGAAGTTTTCCGCTTCCGGTCCCCAGATCTTCTTACTGCGGTGCATGTGGAATATGTCAATCATGATCTGCACTCCCTTGGGAATCACAATCCCATTCGATAGAGTCAGATCCGCTGACGTTTGCCGCGAAACAAGGGGAATTGGCGATATTAATCGCATTGACTCATTTATAACTAGATCCAGGTACACCATTTGCTGGGTGTCTTCATATGTGACCTCGAAATCACCGCAATCGGGGAACAGACTTTTGATTTCATCAAACACTCTCTCCTGGTATTGGGGGTACATGGCCAGCAACATGAGAACATAATACACGGTCTTAGCGGTGGTCTCAAAGGCGCCGAACACAACTTGGTTCGACTCATCCTCTACATTGGTCAGGTCGAATACACCGCGCTTGAGAAGGTCCGTTGTCACATGGAGAAAAATGTTCTTATCCTTGGACTGGATGGAGTCCTCCGTGTCATCTGCCAATCTTTTTTGAATAAGCTAAAATGGCGATTAAAGCTATTATATATTTACTGAGATGTATCTCCATTATTCGCACCTTCCTTAGGAATGCCCGGATCTCCATCTTGGACCGAAGATAGTTTGCCTCCCTGCCCAGCAGCTGGCGGACCCACTTACTGTGGAGCCATGGCGAGATGCACATATCTGTCATGGTTTCTAGACAACTGTTAATGCATAGCAGTAGCCCCAACCACACCTGACTCACCAGTGATAGCTCTCCACGATGGAGCTAAAGTTCTCCTCACTCTTCACATCGCATCCCATTGTGGTTTCTATAGATGAAAAGCAAATGTAACCATTATAGCATCTAGCAAGGGGAGTTTTTAATACTCACGAGTTGTTATGCCCATCGTAAAGATTTGCAGAAGCGGAATTAAATTGTATTCGCCGTTGCTCGACAGTGCGTCCAACTGGCTAAGTAGCTGTCCCGTCTCTTTGTTGAAAATGGGCAGAAAGTTAAGCAATACCTTGTGGCTGAATGCCGGATTCAGCAGCTTGCGATGAACACTCCAGCGGTGATCTAGACACACATTGAAGTAATTCAGTGGAACACTGGTTGCGACAGGCTACACGGACGCACCCTTTAAACTAAATAGTCCTACGCCCATTCCATCGTCTATGGCCCTGTAGATGATGCCCTTGTTCACGCAGTGAGGCGAGGTCAGTATATCCTGCACCACCTGAGGGTCACTGGCGATCACAAAGGGAATAGGGCCCAGCCATGACATTATTGTTGGGCCATGCTTTGCCAGATAAACTCCAAATGCATTCAGTATATCTGCCATTGATACAAAATTAGTTTATCCGATCGATCAGTTCCGAAATGTAAATCCTTTAGTACCTTCCCTGTGAATCAGTTTGTGTGCCATTCCCAGAAATGGGTATCCAAGTGGTCCGGGAATTTTGAGTGTGAGTAAATAAAATCGCCGCCGACTCCACAAAAAATAAATCCAAAGAACGAATAATAATGCACACCACAGTGACCACGTTAACATGTTTTATCCTTTTGACTGCGATATCCACAAAAATAACCGTTAAAATCCGCTTTTAGTCCGCCCAATTTCGACCGAACGCTGTGAAGTTCTCCAACAATTTGACTATCCAAATGAAAGCCCATCGAGTTTTTATATGCTGAACTTAATGCCTATTTTTGGCAAGCGGTCGATCTGTGTGTACAGCTCTTGACACGTTTATTTCTCCATTATGACCGCCACATGTGATGCCCCGACTCAAGCACTAAAAAAAAAGAAAGCCGGTCTTCAGTCCCAAGCGAAGCAAAACTTCAAAACAAAAATAATCTTATCTTCGTTGATCACAATAACCCATAAATCAAGTTTTCGGAAATATGCCTAATTCTGTAATATGCTTAGTTCCGTGATGAACTTCAAGCAAGCTGCGTCATCTTCGTCTTTTGTTATGATATTTATATGTAGGTATGTGCATGTTCATTTTACTTTGATTCTCGTTTGATTCAATTATGATGATCACGATAAGTACTATTTATTTTAGCTTTTTAGGAGCTCGTCGAAAGTGACTAATAAAGTAAATACAATTTCGGGAAACTAAACCACCGACAGCTTAGTTGCTAATGACATTTCCAGAAGCGAATATCGAGCTTTACTTGTTAATTGAAATCATGACTAGCATCATATTTTTTTAGATGCCTTGTTTGCTTAATTACTCTTATTAATTACTATTATTAGGACGGCGCCATACATTCCATATTTTGGCTATAAAAACACCCACACAATCCGAACATGAAACCCAGTCTGAACTATGATCTGAACTATTGGATGTACTCAGTGAGTGTCAGGATAAGCCTCAAGGGGCACTCAGTTACGATGCCGCTGATGAATGCCGATGAATGATGACGGTGTAAGCATAACAGCAAGTGAAACTTCAGTTTGGGATCTCAAGCCAACGTACCGCTTACAGGTAATACTCAACAGTAGATTCACCCATTTATAATTTATTACAATTATTATTTATATTGCGTATTTTAGAGTTCTTATAACATCCTGTATTTGTATCGTGGTATCGTGGATAGTTACGTAAGACACTTCTGGTACAAATTCTGGGACGAAACACATCGTAAATGCAAAATAAGTGAGGGATAATTGCTTTAACAGGCACTTTCAAACAATTATCCTTTAGTTTTCTTCAGCCTTTGTTTTGTGTTTCGTCCACACCACTCTGGGGCCTTACTCAATACAATAGCAGAGTTGCAAGGTTATTATTGTCGCAACTTATAAATATATGTATGTTACTCTGACACAAAGTGACCGATTGCAATCGAATGCAATCCAGCGACGGTCACTGACTGCCGCCGCTGTCCGAAATGTGATGCGCCTGCATCTAGACCGTGGTACACGGAAGCTCTTACGTAACTATGTAAGCAGAGCTCCGTTCTCCACGCCATTACAAACAGCTGCATGCGAGCAACTCGCCCTCATTATTATTGTCAAAATATAGATTTGAATTCAAATAAAGAGTAACGGTGGCTAAAAACGCGCTACATGGCAACTACACAGCAGTAAAGTTGCAACTGAGACACCACCTGACGACGAAATCTTCGTGACAAGCTTGACCAATAGATGGCTCTACTTTATCAACTGTAGAATGTAAAGGTAAAAAGCCGGTAGAACTGAAATTTTTTTTAAATGATTAAAAAAAAAAAATTTTGGTTTACTCCCACCTAATTTGGCCAGTCATACATATAGAACCTAGAGCCCACGACAGCAGCACTGAAACTCTCATTTTTTTTAGAACATAACTAGAACATAACAAGGAGATCCCACTCCCTGCTATCACAGCCTCCGTCTCGTCCAGCTCCAACTAACTTGCCAGGGAGATCACTCAGCTAAATGTTTCTGAAATCCAGGAGATTAAAGGATACTGTAAACTGGGCATCACCACCACGAGTATTATAATAAATAAATTATAATCTGAAATCGAAACAAACAGGTGGGTGAAAGTGTAGGCAAAATAGAATACCATTCAGAAAGGAAACACTTCATTGATAAACTGGATTGGATTAGATGGCTAACGAACACAGCAAAATGATTGGAAAATAAAAATAGAATGTCTCTGAATATTAATATATAATAGTAATATAATATATACTAATAGGTTTCTATCTTATTATTTCATTAATTATTTGCATTGGATTTTAGCACCTTAAATTGAATTCTATGTAAAAGTATTGAGTAATAATTCAGTTAATTGCTCAACCAATAATTGTTAAAAGTTTCTGAATTTCCTCCAATCCGATGTCTTTCAATTTAGTTTATTATCGAAGATCCATCACCCCAACGAACGCAACAAAAAAGAGCAATCAATCAAATTCAATCGATCTCTGCAGAACCGGAACATTGAGTGCAAATTATGAAGACGTAAATATGAAATTGGTGAATTTTCGATTTGAGCTATAGCCAAACGATTTGTTTTCCTGCCATGTTGAGGCGAGGCATCTATATGTAAATTATGTCAATTTTATTGACTAACGAAAATAAATAGGTTCGCTTCAGCTTGGAATGTTTGTTGCTCTTATGTATTGGGGGGCAACGGCGAGGTCAATAAACCACCGAAAAAGATTGATATCAGCTCCCCATTAAAGTTCAATGGGAGCTAGGGAGGGCTCTGATCCCCACTTGACTTGAGTAGTCGAAGTCGAACACCCTTTCCCAGGCCAGGCCCAGATAGCGCTTCATTATGACACAATTATGTCAAATTATTCGGATGCCACTTCAGATAGAAGCCACTCCCTGGATGGCCCCTCGATTCCGACACTTGCAAGTGGTCGCTTTTGCCAGAAATCAATTCAATTATGTCTCAACTCTTATTCTCACAGGGATTACGAAGTACTCGTACGCTCGGGCATCCTTCTGCATCCGCACAATGCTTTGATTAGTTCCACACGAATAACTTTGAAGCGCTGCTGATGATTAGCACGCGGCGCTACACTGAACTGGGACTGGGACTGGCACTAGAACTGGGCCCGAGGCTGTGACTGAGGCTGGTGTTGGTGGCGCTGCCATTTGCATACATACATACATGATCATATGTACATATGTGGCCGGTAGCAGACGTCCCCTATCTATGCATCGCGACAGCATAAAAATTAAACCCGAAGGTGGGACCACCCACACGGCCGTCTGTGCTTTTATTGCTCACAAAGTAGCATAAACAAATTCCGCTTCTAACGGAGGCTGCTCGACATCGACATCCACATTAGCGTCGACATCGGCATCGGCAGCGGTGGCCACAAAGTCAACGCCACCGCACACCTGATGGGGATGGGATGATGTGGATGAGCACATGGAGGATGATGGACTTCAAGCCGAGGAGCAGTTCGAGTACTCGTGCATTAGTACATTAAATGTTCGCCTCCTGCCCCCTGGGACATCATTGTTTGTTGTTGCTGGGCGTTTTGCTTATTTGAAGTACGGTTTGAGTTATTTGCGTCAGATGTGTGGTCTGGTCTTCTAGTTGCAGTTGGCTCCGTTCTTTGGTTTCTCCATTCCTGCCCTGCCCTGCATTGCCACTCAGACACAGCGCCCGTCGTGGCGATTATCAAATTTGTTACAAAACATTGGTCCATTCTTTAATGTGTCGCCAAATGTCGGCTATCCCGGGGCGCAAATCAAAATAAACCACTTGGAGGACCACCACAAAATAAATGTCTAGAGTCTAGACGGGGATCCTGGGGGCAGATTCCAATTAGACACCTTGACCACACAAGACCGGGACTCACTTGTTCGGACTGTCTGCCACAGGCCACTTGAGTGGGCCGGCCCGGCCACGTTCTCACATATTTCACTGGGGACTCTGCATGTCCTGCCGACATCCTCAAGTGTGTACCGTCTGGCCAGGAGCGACAACGGCGACAAGTAGCTCGTTCCGGGGGCACAGGACAGGCGTGATATATAAACAAAGCCACACGCATGATTACATGATCATGATCGAGGCAGCGGCTGAACTGCTGGCTCCCTACGCCCGGTTTCCAATTGCATGTGAATGCCGCCGCCGACACTGAAGGTCACAGACAGATACACATGCAGACACAGACACAGATATGGCAGATGTGAGGGTGCACAAACTGAGGCAAGATCCATACTTTTAAGCTCTTAAGTACAAGCGATTCACTTTGGCCAATGTGCGCTTTTCAATTGAATTTCTTTTTCGATTTCCATAGATAGATTCGGCACAGATATGAGGATTTTTCAATTATTATGGGGGCCTGTGGCAGACAAGTACGCGTATTATTAATGTAATAGCGGCTAATTGCGCATTCCCGGCCATTTGCCTGTGCCCCAACGAGCAGCGCCAAAGGCAAATTAGAACGAAACACTTCAGGCAGCGACTTAAAAGCTTTGATTTTGATGGAACACTTGGGAATCGGCGCGGAATTTACTACATGTCTGCATTTTGCGGCCGTTGAGATCATTGCAACGATTGCCGGTCCAATGGGCATTGTCCAAAGTGGAGCCAAGCAGATTAGAAAATTTGCAATAACTTCACCCACTTGAGGCCCCCACGCACCACGCACCACGGACCACAAAGCACACACCACACCGATGACTGCTCAAGGTTTTGGCCTGAACGCCCATTCGAAATCTACCGCAGCAAAGCTGTGTTGCATTTATTTGGCCAGGCCGAGACAATAAACAAAGTACATTGTACATAGCTGCCCCGGCATGCGGCAACAAATAGCGGCAATCTAAATACGATTACGATGCACGATGTACGAGGCACGGCCGGCCCGATGATATCTCGCGCCCCGTAACAAGAACAATAAAAACACATTGGCAAAATATGACAAAGCAAACAATAATACGTCGACGAATGGCTGCCAAATTGAATGATCGATCCAGCAGCACAGCGCAATGGTGCGGCACGGAATCGGAATCCTCATTCGGATCCACATCGAAGTCCGTGCCCGGACGTCACAATCCCCCGCCCAACCATCATTGCCCATACCCATTGCAGCGGCAAATCAAAATTCCTGCTAGAATATAAAATTTAATTGCCTACAAATTGGCGCGATGAGTTTTATTTCCATTTAAAAAAATATATATGTATGTATGTATGCGTACTCGTATGCGTTTACATGGGAAGTACGAGTACAGCACAATGAATGGGGAAATTTTGGTTTAGGGCCACAATTTACTATGGGCTGTCCGCGTGGGTGGCAGCCAGGAAACAAATATTTGATTTAGTCAAAAGCTAATGATTTATTTACGATTTCC